ATAAAATTTATTATAAACTACTATAATTTTTCAAGTTACTATTGTACTTAAAACTAATTTATATTGAAGTAATATGCGTAGATATATTTGTTATTTATTAAAAAATTTTTTTTTAAAAAAAAAAAAATCCGGGTTGCCGGGTCACTTGTTTCATCTTGTGTTATGAAAACCAAAAAATTTACTTTATATAGCCTTATTATTTATAAAATTGTCTCCAATAAACTTTTAAAACCTAATTAATCTTGATATTCCTGCCACCATGATCTCAAACACATTGCTGCTCTAACTGTTTTTCACTTAATCGTTTCCGTTTATTGTTTATTATATCACTACTAATACTGAACATCTGTTCATTTGGAACACTAGTTCCAGGAATTGAAAGACAGTCTTGTATGAATTTTGCAAGATTTGGACAATTTTTTTTATTCAGTTGCCACTATTCCAATAGATCAATATTAGATTCTTTATATAGTAATGAGAAATATGTATCTAATTCATTTCATTGATCTGTATGCCCTTGCTTATAAATTCATACCATTATTGAAAATTGTGCAACAGGTTTATAATATATTTTGATTAGAAATAGATACATATTCATTTTCATATTTTTCTTTAATAATATTCTTAATATCAGTAATAAGTTGTTTGGGTAAATTAAGTAATTCAAAAAAATCAAATTTAAGTCAGAGATCTAATACAACTGATGCAAGATGTAATACACTTGTTTTGCTACAATACAGCAATAATTTGTAAGCTTTTTTTTTGCAGCTTCACAGCCTTGAACGAGCCAAAGTAATGTATTATTTTTACTTTAATTTCCTCAAGAGTTTCAAATAATATATAATATAAAGGAACAGTTATTGTCAAAGTCAGATATTTTGATGCTAACATAATTGTTACTGCATCTCTAAATGGTCGCAAAACCTCAACAAGGAGCTTAATTTTTTTCCATTCATCATTTGTAAAAATATATTGCTGTAATTTTACTTCAGCAATAGTCAATGAATCCAATACAGCTTTAGAGTTACTGCTCATTCACACATATCATATATTGAATTCCACCTGGTAACCACATCAAGAAAAGATTTTAATACTTTTATGCCATGTATTAAACAAGTTGTTTTTAACTTTTTGTGACATAATATTGAATCTCGAATAGATTTAATTAAATCCTGTAGTTTATCAGCTCAACTCCTACAATATCTAACATGTTTTGAACTGCAAGATTTAGGATATGAGCAAAACATCTTATAGATTGTTGATTGTTATCAAATTGAAGCCCTAACTGTATCATAATATTAGAAAAATCTCATGTAAATTTAATGTTAGAAGCAGCATTATCATGTGTAACTGCCATTAATTTTAATATAATTCCATTAATTTGAAGACAATCTTTTATTTTCAGAACCTGTATGCGGTCCATCCATATTTACAAAATCTAAAAGAATATTTTTTAACTTCCAAGAGTTATCTATATAATAAAGAGTAATTGATATAAATAATTTGTTATTATTATCTATTGTCCATATGTCAGTTGTAATTGAAAGTTTTCCAGAATATTTTGTAATTTTTTACAAAGCTTATTACGTTCTTCTTCAATATCAGTCATGATATATCTTCTCACAAAATCAGCTGATGGTGCAATTGCTTTGGGTTCTAGGTATAAAAATATTTCTTTAAAATCATTGTCTTCAATAATATTAAATAGACAATTATATTTAACAATCCAACGTTTAATAAGGTCTTTAAAATGTGCTAAATTAAAAGGTTCACGGAGATTATCATTAACAGTTGATTGACTTTTAAACATATCTGTAATAGTAATGTTTGATTTTTCTTGATTTAATTTGGGCACCTTTTCTTTGTGTATAGTAAGATGTTTTCTAAGGCTTGATGTTGAGCTCTCAGCACATTTTATTAATTTTTTAGTAGGGCAAAGTTGACATCTAGCAAAAGGCGTATCCTTTTCTTTTATAAAGTATTTCTATACAAATGATCGTACAGAAGGTTGACTACTTGCAGCAGGTTCTGCTTGAGATAATTCATTATCTGAGATATCAAATATGTTATTATAAGAACCTTTATTATTATGAGAATTATACTCATAGTAATCATCTGGTTCTATATAAAAATGGGTATCAGAATCTTCTTCCATAATAATATAGCGATGAATTTAAAATTTATGAACCTTTATATATTTTTAAATTATTTTAGATTTCATGTTTTGATTTAATTATTTTATAAATCTTGATGTTTTGAAGCATTATCAATGTACTTTTGCTCTATTCTAATCGTGTTTGTTTAATTATTATCCAAATGCATATATGCATTAGGTATATATAATTATTGATCATACTTTACTATATTATAATTAGTGTGGTTTCATTTTTATTTAACAATTTATAGCACTAATATGTATTATGCATAAAGTTTAGCAAGCAATTATTTTATTGCTTTGAAGAATCCTATAATTTGATGTTTAGATTTTAGTTTAGACTGTTCCTTTTTATATCTTTGTCTCTGCACCCAAAATTTAACAATCTATGTCGAAATTACTATGAAATTTTTTTTGCCCCTAATCTATTTAGGTATAGTTTATTATTAAGTTTTAAAATGTATTCTCTAGCTCATACTATTGAATTTGTTTTGGTTAAAATGTGAGGCTAGGAATTTTTGATTATTAGTATTAAGTTTAAAGGTAAAAGTTTTTTTTATCGCTTGAATTTTTATTTTTTAATTTAAATAACACAATTACTAATCAAAATTTTATAAGTCATAAGGATAGTCGAATAAACTTTTAATTGTGACAGATTGAGTTATAACTCAATTTGTCACAATTAAACTTTAAACTTTTATATAACTAAAAATATCAATACTCAGACGGGTATTTAGATAAGTGTTACTTTATTTGTACATTTTGCGCAATGTGATTGTTTTCTCTCTGAAACATTATTCTTTTGGTCAATCATAAGGCAAATGCATGCATGTTTAATCAGATTCTTTGGGTATAATCGTCAACCACTCTATGAATATATATACATATATACATATTGTATATAAACTAGCATATACTAAAAATATTTTTATTATATTGTAATTGATTTAATATCTTGGACCAGAACCAGTGGCAAAAATAAGACTAGCAATATCACAACTCATGATATCACTAGTGCTATTTTTGCTACTATTAAAATCCACTAGTTCTGCTTTGGATACTTTAACATAAACATTTCTTAACTACAGCTTTATGAATACTGGTATTAGCTACTTTAAATTTCTATTCGTTAAAGATCAGGTGATAATTTATGCGGGTCTATGCAGGCTCATCGGGTACTCGCTAGCAAGAATCGAAACCAGACGGTTCTACAAATAATGAAATCAGACTTGACCTGATGAGCCGGTTCCCAGTTCGATTCCGGGTTACGGTTCGAGTCTGCAGAACTCTAGCAGTTATTGTCTGAAACGAAGTGACAAACCTTTAATTTCTGTGTATAGTGATACAAAAGTTACTTTCTTGATGCATTAAATCTTAAAATATCAAAAAAGTAATTTGCATTTTCCGTCTGTCCGCTATTATACAAAAGTTACTTTCTTGATGCATCAGATATTGTTGCCTTTAGAATTAAGAGCTTTCTAAAGAAAAAAATCTTTCTTTACTAAATAAACCTCTTTTCAACGCTTAAGTAAAGTTGTAGAGGAGTCTTTTGTGATCAGAATGGCGGTTAAACTGTTAAAATTGGCCCAGTAGGTCGTGAGATATCCCTTAAGCTGTAGAGTTTGTATAACAATTTTAGCTTAAAAATAGCATAAATTTAGTTATGATCTATTTTTTTT